AGTGGACGATCGCGGTTATCAAAAACTCCGCGCCTAACCTCAGCATTGCTCGTCTGGCTGCAGATTCACCAGATTCGTGCGATACTGCGTAGTCAGTGGTATCCAAACACGGACAGTCTTTTTTATCCCGTTTTCCTAATGACCTGTCTGCTCCCTTTCTGGACTCTCAATCTGTTTTATTCGGCTTGATAGGGACATTTCGATTTCGGTGCAAAACTCACATTTAACCATTTGTTGTTCAATTTTTTTTTTATTGTACCGCAAATGTTTACCCTGACTCTTATAATAAGCATTAGTTGAATTGTTGTTTTGTTTTGTTGCCTCCTCATTCTTCTCCAATTTTTTTTTTCATTAACAATTTGTTTTGTTATTGGTTTGATCATCAATACACACACACGCACACAGCAATCTGTCTGTTCCTCTAACGCGTGACCCGGTCTCTCTCGAATACAGGTCAAATCGTTCAAACGAAAATATCCGGACCTGACACGTCGCACAATGGACGCGTACGAACGATCTTGGTTACAACAAGAGGGTCTTGTCCCGGTAGGTCGTGCGGATCTCGGACTAACCGCGCTTCGTACCGATGAGGTGATGAAATTGCTTCAGGATGACTATCCAGAAGTGCATGCCGAGCTGAGTGATCTTTTCCAACGGCGTCGTTTTCAACAGGCTGCCGAACTGCAAAAGCGACAATACGAAGTACGCGGCTTCCTGAAACTTTTTTTTCTTATGTGAAAAAATATTTCCTTTATATTTTAACAATGTTGTCTAGACTAGGCGCAACGTGCAGCAGTTCGCAGTTCGGAGTAGCCTCCTATAGATGCACAATGGATGATGCATAGTGGAATTCTGGAGCATCATTACACGAGAAATGCAAAAAAAAAAACTGGGCGAAACTTGAACAGAATTAGGAAACTGAGGTAGTCCTACTCGCTACTTTCTCGTGGGGCGGAGGTGTCTTCCCACCAAAGTGGGAGAACTGAAAGCCGACATAACCAGGTTGGTGGACCACTGGTAGTTCACCTAGGGGGTTTGACCCCGTCCAAAGGGCGTATGATCCGATGAACTGGACACCGCCCCCCCCCCTCGAGTGGATTGTGGTTTTTACACACACCACCCGCCCCGCTGCCTTGTGGGTCAGGCTTTGGCTAGTCAAAGGTTCCGGTTCTGAATTCCCCAAGGAGATTCACCTGCCTTTGCCCGGGGCAACTTGGCAGTATCCTGCCCACATACNCCACATACAAATCATCAAATGTCTTCCCTTTTCATAGTTTATTGTATCGTGATTTTTTTGGCACACAGTCTGGGTTTAGACCCGTGCATAAAATACGGATAAAATAAACCAATCAACAGCATTGTTGTTTTTTAAAAACACTAACATTCTTCTTTGCCACTCGTTTTGTATTTTCGCACTGGTGATGCGTATTGTCGTTTCATTTCTGCTCACCTTTCCTCTCGTTGTTCTTTTCAAAACTGACACATTTGTTTTACGACCGCTTACTATTTGGGCATCCACAGTCACTTCGATTCGTTGATCAATTCCTGTGTGGACAGTCTTTAGTATTCGGCTCACCAGTCACTTGTAATTCAAACTTCAATTCATTAGGTTGCACAGCTGTGAATTGATTGAAATTTGAATGAGATGTTTTGAAACACTGTTGTGATTCGTAGCCCTCTGTGTTGTTGTTGTTGGCATTTGGACATCCGGCAGTAGCGTACTCCTTTCCAATTTCCCTTTTTGTATTCTTGTGCGCAAATTTTTCTTTCCCTCATGGGAACGATATGTTCACAGTTTCACCTGCTCTATTGATCCAGTTCGGTTTCGACCCCCCCTCCCAATGGGTCCATTTTGTTTGCTTCTCAATTTCGCCACCGGGTGATCGTTGATCGCTGTGCACAATAGGGTTGTGTTCCCAGTAGATTGGTTGAGCGGTCAAGCAGTGCAATGTGGTTTCACCTGGTTCCGGTCAACAGTGAGCCCATCCGTTTGTCACCCTTTGTGGATCACGGAGCGTGTATACTTTGGACGAGTGCTGGTAAAAATGACAATGTATGGACTGGGCCTTACGATCGGCGAACGTCTTTCGTTTAATTTTAATTTTCTGATTGCAACAGGTAGGTAAATGAGTGTTCTTTTCCAGCTCTTCATCACCATTTCGGCTGCTTCCGATCATCTGGGACAGAAGCTGCTGATCGATCGTGCTTCATCGGCAGCCCATGCAAACTTTCGTTGAGTAGACACCTCTCTCTCCTAATAGTGCTTTCACCGCAGACGAGCTTCGCTTCGTCTACTCGTCACCATTGATTTTTTTGACCAAGTGAACGAATATTTCACTAACAAAACCACGAATGTGTCCATTGGGCCAGATACCAGAAGCGTTGAAACACGTACCCTTCTCACCGGATAGGCCACGCGATGAGATTGAGTTCACGACCAAAGTTAATGAGAGGAAGTCCCCTTTTCTGATTGCGGGTTTCCTCAAAGTGTGCGCTACTTCAACTACGACAATCTTGGGGACAGAAAGACCGAATCAGAATCACTAATCTCCTCCGATTTGACACATTCCTCCTTGGTCCGGAAATATCATCAGTTTTTGGAGAAATTCTGATTTGGGTCTTTTTTTGCTTATGACTTTCAAATGATCGCCGTCTTTGTCACTCTTTTAACCGCCATCTCCGTGTTGTTGTCACACTTTGTTTCCAGGCTGCTCGCATTGAACGCGGTGAAGCTCGGGCCGAGGCCGCGCGTCGACGTGCCCTGGACTCTGCGTCAGATTTCAATCATCGACTGATCGGTGCCCGTCTGACCACACGGCGATGTTACTGGGACTTGCAAACCATGCAAATTCACTTCCCACAACGCCAGTATAAGCTGATCCAGTCGTCCACCGAGGAGAGTTCTGGTGGAGCTTATCCGGTTGCAGTGATTCCCGGTCAATTCGCCGAGCACTTTGTCCGTTACACTCCGGAACAGTTAATGCATTTACCCCTGTCCCGTTGCATCTACTCCCAACCGTCGCGTCGTCATCGTGCTCCGCCCCCACTGCCCACACAACTGCGATTCGGCTCGTTCACACCACGTCCGACCCCTAATCCGGCGGAAGCGTTCAAAATTCCGGGCTCTGATGGTGGTACCAGCACCACCACGGCTGTGTCGACAACGACGACGACCACGGCCGAAAATCGTGCCACACCGCACAATTCCACCAAGGAGATCAAACCTACTGGTGCTGAGTAAGTCGTTTAATTTCTCCCCACACAATCGAGATTTTGCTTATTGTTCCACGTACCATGGACATATCGACCGATAACCAGATTGGTTGTTATCATTTCACATTGGCGTTGACTGTTCTTAAATCTGGACGTATGGGAACAACGGATATTTAGTAGAATTTTCATTACCCTGAGGTGCGAGTAATTGTGGCATTTTTAAAAATTTTGTCTAACGTTTTTCTGTTATCCGGGTCATGAGCTATAGTGTGATGATGGTGGCAGTAGTCAAAATTGATACCTCGATATTTAACCAGTCCATGAGATGTTCATGTTATTTTTTATTACGGGGTCGATCTGTAGTTACGAAGACCTGCTGTTCAGTGATGCAAATCTAGGAAATCTAGGCCCACGCGAGTGGCGAACCACATAAGGCCCCACGTCAGATGAGGCGTGGCATCGAACCGAACGATAGAAAAGCTTGTCTAACACTAAAGTTGTGTGGTGGTGGTGGTGACTGGNCTGGCACGCCGGTGATGGCGACTAAACCACTGCGCCACAACCACTGCTTTATTTACGCAGTTAGATTGTGTATTCTGTGTGTTTGTGTTGACCATAGAGGTCACTTTATTCCGCCTCTCTCGAATACGTTCACTTTACCTACTACCACTAACTTTGTACGTAACCAAAAGTTTGACCGGTCTAACTGTCTTTTCCGAATATATGTATATATGCATTTCGTAGTAGGTAGTATATGAATGACTAAACAAAATTTCTGTTGAAGCGGACGACCGGTTTTGCGGTTCTAGTCGCTTGTCAGGCATGCGCATCCGTTGTTCCGTTGTCAGTTCATTCATATACTTGTACCCAAGAAGTGGATTTTCGTCACAATAACCTTGATTGCAACACTGGCTGACCATTGGATAGACAGCTCTTTCAGAGTGCCAGTCCATTGTAGAATCACTACGTTTTCTAGGTGGATTTAATGCAACTAACCGGAACATATATGTGACTTGATCGTCTTTATAGTATATTTTGTAATAAGTAGTATGTGAATGACTGGACAAAATTTCCCTGGAAGCACACGATCGAGTTCGCGGTTCTTGCCGCTCGTTAGGCATGCGTATCCGGACACAATAACCTTGTTTGTATCACCGGGTGCTGTTTGGGTAGAGAGCTCTTTCAGAGCCAGTCCATTGAAGAATCAATGCTATGATTCAATGTTTTTGTAAGTGGGTTAGATGCTACTAACCGCAACAAACGTAACTTGATAGTCTTTCTAGAATATATCAAGTCACGTTTGTTACGGTTAGTAGCATCTAACCTACCTGCAAAAGCATCGTGTACAAATTAACAGGAAAGGTTGAAAGTAGAATGGAAGAAAAAACTGAAAAGGTCCGTGGACTAATGATACAGAGAAATTGAGAAGGTGCACGAACGCCACTGTTTTCGACACCCAGCCATGTCACTCAATGTCTCTAACCATCGGGTATGATCAGCCTAAGGTCTCCATCCAGGGAGCCTAACGGAACCTATGTGGACAAGACTCCTGGTTAGGGTTTTCATACCCTCATGCCAGGTCTTAGCTTGACCACGCTTGGCTTTCTTCCATCCACTACCTGCCTCGGCAAATGTCACTCGCCGTGGCAACCTATCTGGTAACATGCGCAACACACGTCCCAACGAATGTAATCTATGGAGGTCGATCCATTGCTCCAGTGGGTGCCAAAAACCTTTCGCCTGGCCTCAGCACTGTTCACCCGGCTAATCGACCGAGTATGATTCCAGGGAGAAAATCAAACACGATTTTGATTAGACAAATTCCTCTGTGGTTTTCACAAGAGGATCTATCACCTTTCTTGTAAATCGGTATGATGACCGATTCATATCATTCAGCTGGAACCTGTTGCCTCTCCAACTTTGAGCCCAGGAGTGTCGTTAACTCCGAAACCAATGCTAAACCTCCATCTTTAAAAACAGATAGGTCGAGCCCGTCTGGGCCTTTTGAGATAGTTTATTTCCCGAGAAACCTCGATTTCAGATGGAGGACTGCCATCGACTGGCAGAATATGCGCAGTCGCGGTGGAGGGTGATAGTTCAGATTGTTCAGATGTCGATGGGGGGCAGTTGAACTGAGCCTTGAAGTGCTCAGCCCAACAAACAAGACAGCGTTGCTGCTCATGAATCAATGTGCCATCGGATTCCCTAATTACTGCACATTAAATCTGTATGGTGAAGTGCACTGATAGATGAAGTAGAGTGGATGTCTGTCGTTTTCCAGGTTGGCATCCAAACCACTCTGTAACTGGGTGGCGACGGTAGTAGCATTCTTCTTTTCACTCGCGAAATCTGAATGCTCTGCGTTTCGCTCCTCTTTGGTTGCCCTCAGGGAACAAAAGTCTTATCCCCGTCCATCATACGCATTCGTGCATACGCTTTGAGCTTGGTAGCAATCATTTAAGTTCGCTTCATTGCATCTTACTGTACAATGATGATGATGATGTTGGAGACTAANGAGACTAAAGATTTGGAAGGTATCCCTAGGTACACAACGCTTGGTAAGGTCAGAAGTACTACTCCCATCAGGCACTCATTACATCCTTATCCAATTGTTCCATTCCAATGAGAATGAGTCAGCTTATTCCGAAACCGACAGGCTCATATCTCAATGATTTAGTTTTCTTCAATTAAAAGTACTTAATGAGTTCATTGTTTTCATCAGCGGCCTCCATTTCTATCTTACAGTGTTTATGGTGCTATAACATCCATCTCCCTGACTGAAGAAACCGCTCCACTGAAGGAACTAGTGGACATTCATAGATTATGCTGGTTGGACCACGTGCTACCCATGTCACCAGATAGGTTGCCACGGTGAGCGATGTTTGTCGAGGCAGGTAGCGGTTGGAAAACGTCCAGGGAGGTCAAACCAAGACTTGATATGAGGGTATAAAAGCCCTAACCAGAAGACTAGGTCACATAGGTCCCGTTACACTCCCTGGTTAGGGATCCCAAGATGATGGTCACCGATGATTAGAGACACTGAGTGATTTGTTTGTGTGTCGCAAACAGTGGCGATCATGCATCTACTCATTATTCTCCTCACAACGGTCTATATAAATTCCCTAGTTTCTGTTTGAATTGGCTTTTAACATTACAATCTTAGTTTTCCTTTTTTATCCAAATTGGCGGCCAAAAGATAGTAACCAAAACCTGTGCACAATAGTGCATGGTTGTAAAAACTGAAACTGAACCTGAGCTGAAGAAACCGATGTTTGTTGTAGTTTGAAAAGTTTTGCTTTACACTTGTGAATTATGACTGCTTGCGAACAAGGATACTCTTCGGCTTTCCACTATCCGATCGTCGCTGTCATGGAACCATTGCCCTCATCCAGTGGTCATAGCAATTCACGATCGAGGTAGTCCGTAGACGTGTGTTAGGTGTAGACAGTCGTCCTCGGATCCAAAACGATTATATTACACCAGCTCCAGTGGCTTGGACACATATGCACCATACATATTTGTCCATCACCTCCTATTCCAGTCTCACTTTTCACAACCATTTTAACCCTGAACTGTCACGTGACACTGTCTGTACTGATCGCTCTTTTCGGTTAATTACATCAGCATAGTTGGAATAGGTTTCCCGGTGTTTAGTCCATGACCCGGTCTCGATCAGTTCTTCAAGACCATCCTACTAGAACTCGAGGACTGATAGATCCCCTTTGAACAGAAACTTCAAGGGTTATGGATCCGGTTCGCACAAAAAGTGCCATCTCACTCGGTCACTAATTATGAAACTGGGTGATGTTTTTGTATTGTCTCATTCTGTTTCACACTGTTCTACCCGTACCCGAGAAATCCAGTGTTTTTGAACTTTTCACAGCCAATTGGTTGTCAGTATCTACTGGGGAACTGTGTTTAACTTTCTCATTCTCCTCTTGCACAGTCTTGACCGATCCGCTGAGCACCATCCAGTCACTTCAAGTCCTCGGCCGACTAATTCAGGCTCACAACCGACAACGGGTTCGCCTAGCACGGCCGCCACATCTGTCAAACCCGTGAATGCATCTACTGCGTCGGACCGTCGCGTGGATCGTGCCAAATCCACACTAGCCAACGGCTCGGCAGGTACGGAACCGATTCCTTGTTCTGTTTGCAAACAAGAAGCCTCTCCGCCATTTGTACGATGTTCAGAATGCAAAGTGGCCGGGCATCCGAGGTGTTTCAGTCTGCCGGATTCAATGCTTCCCGGCGTACTAAGGTGAGTGTGATGACCGGTTTTCCAGCCCTAATCTCGTCTTAAACACATGAGCCTCCGTGTTTTCCCGNGTTTTCCCGGGGGGGGGGGGGGTTCGTTTTTTTTAATTCGGATTCGCACACCCACATCCTCTCTTGCCACGGTCTAAATCAAAAACCGGATCCATATTTTTCTTGTCGTCACACATTGGTATACCTCTGTTGGCTTTTTTCATCACCATAGCCGGACATTTTTTCCTCATCAAATTTGAGCTTCTCTTCACATTACCATGTGCTCTGGTTGATTCAAAGGTTGCTACTCTGACTGACCACTGTCAGTGAGAAGTCGTACCCACGACCCAACTCCATCATTGCCTCAACATCGCCTCTAACCTTCTCGCTCGCATCATACTCCGTCGATTGTTTGCCACACATGAAGAGTGCACGTGAGAATCTGGCTAGTTCCGAGACCTGGTTGAAGCATTATCGACCACATCTATACTTTTCGCCAAGTTCTCGAACATCGACTCTCTCTTCTTAGACAAACGATCTGTCTTTTTTCAATTTGAAAGCGGCTTTCGACTCAGTCGACCGCTCTAAACTCTGGCACTGCCTATCCCTGAAGGGTGTGCCCGAGAAGTTTATTTCAATTTAACNGCACTTTTTCGCCCGAGTTCACCATGGAAAGTGGTGTTCGTCAGGGTTGCCCTCTTTCTCCTTTCGTATTCAACTTTGTTATAGATCTGATTGTGGAAACAGCCCTATCCTCGTGCGAGAATAGTGGTATTGATTTACTCCCGAGTGGCAAGCTGTCTGGTCTAGAATATGCAGACGATATTGTGCTACTAAGTGAAGATCCAGTTACAAGTTACAAGCTTTTCTGGATAGTTTGAGTGCTAGTGTATCCATGTTCGGTATGCCTTTTGCACCTTCAAGGTGCAAAATGCTACAAAAAGACTGGGTTGGTCCAGCACCCAGCCACACTCTAACCGGGGAAGTAATAGAGCAAGTGGATAAGTTTTGTTGTTTGGGCAGCTGCATGTCACCCGGTAGGCTCATCACGGAACAATTGTCGGTC